CTATATCAACTAGCAACCGGAGAACTTATATCTGAAGCTACTGCTGTTAATTTGCCTTGGATCGACAAAGTACGTTTAATAAGAGATGATCCGGTTACAGTTGCTCGTTGCTACTATAACCGCAGGGATCATTTGATCCGGGTATTGCTGAAGTATTCATCTCTTATCGGACATATTACGGATTTCTTCTGGCGCGACGAATTTCAACAACGAGGTACGCCTCACACACATGCAGCCTTTTATCTAGCAGATGCACCGAAATTTGGTATCGACGACGATGACGCGGTTGTAAATTTCATCGACGAGCTTGTCACGTGCTCGTCTACAGCTGTTTCGTCGACTTTGTTGGCTGGTCAATATCATCATCACAGTCGGGGCTATTGTTTGAAGCGGCGTTCTCTCGACAACAAACGCGTGTGCCGATTTGACTTTCCTCGACCCCCCTTACATGAAACAATGATTCTGCATCCTCTGCCTGAAAGTCTGTCAGAATCTAGGAAACAAGAATGCGCAAGATATTCGCGACAGATTACGGAAGGCTTAAAACATCTAGACTCTGGCAATTCTGATGCCGAACACTGGTCTTGTTCCGACTTCTATTCAAATCTGAGTCTGACACCAGTGGAATATGTACTTGGCTTGCGGTTCAAACTTGTGAAGCCAACCATCTTTCTTAAGCGACGACCGTGTGAAGTGTACATCAACAATTACAATCCGAAACTTCTAAGACTGCTGGAAGGAACCAACATGGATATTCAGTTTGTTTTGGAAGCGTACGCCGCAGCAAATTATATTAGCTCATACATGATGAAGACGGACTACAGATTAAGCAAACTTTTAGACCAGGCGTACGCTGATGCTCGGCGGGGTAATATGGAATTGCGCCGAAGTATCAGACAGGTTGGCATGACACTATTAAAGGGGCAAGAGATCTCAGCGCAAGAAGCTGTGTACGGGTGTCTCGGATTGCCTTACAGACATAGTTCCCGGCAGCATGTTTTCATTCCAACAAGTCCACCTGAAAACCGGACGTTGTTGGTGAAAACTGACACTGCGTTGTCTCTTCTTCCGGAAGACTCAACGGAGTGCGTTTATTCGAATATTATTGACAAATACGCGATGCGTTTACAAAATGAAAGCATGCAAGGGACGGAAAATCTGACGCTAGCGGATTTCGCTGCATGGTATGACCATGGAACGACTGCTGCAAGCGCCCAGGAGAACATAAACGAGGATAGTGTGGAGTCTGTTACAACCGCGGATCAGACCGTGGCTGTTGAATCCGCTGATACAAGCGATGTCCGTAGCTCTGTCAAGTATCACAGACGTGAAAAAGCGAAAATTATACGGTACGTTGGGTTCAGGAAATCAGAAGATCCCGAATTATACTTTCGAGAACGTATTCTGCTATTTCTGCCATGGGTATTCGAAGGTCAGAGTCATCTCAGCTTAAGCGAAGTAGAAGATCAGATTTTGCTATCGCACTTCGATACTTTTGAAGCTCGATATATGGCTGAAGAAGAAGCAATAATTGCTGCTTCTGCGCCATACGATTTTCATTCAGATATAGTTTGGAAAGATGTTGAGAAATATGCAGAAACTCGGGCAAGCGAAGATGCAGAATTACTTGATGAACTTTCAGACGAACGATGCAGCCGCGAACTGAATCCTGAAGTCTCTAATTTAGCGGCGGAAGCTGCTGTCCCCGCAGAATTCACAGTGCCACCAGATTCTGCGTTCGCTGCAGCGTCGTCGAGCGAAGAGAAGTTGCCGCACTCTCAAATTCTATTAAGCGACGAAGAATTCTATCAGCAGATGCGAATGCTTACGTGTTCGCAACGTGCATACGTCGACCACGTGATCCATTGCCTCAAATTTCCAGGTGATCGAAAACTTATCGAATTCCTTACGGGAGGCGCTGGCACAGGCAAAAGCCTGGTCATTCGCTGCATTACACAATTTATCATACGAACATTTAGCGGTGCCGTAGGCTTACAGCCAACGTCTTTGAAAGTGCTGTTAACTGCTTTCACCGGAAGCGCTGGCTTTAATATAGATGGAGTTACTATACATTCTGCTTTTCGAATTCCGCTGTATGCAAAGTTGGAGTCGTACATACCTGTGATGGGTGAGAAGCGAGCGGCCCTTAGAGACGTATACGCTGATTTGAAGGCTTGCGTAGTGGACGAAATTTCTATGACGGGTGCTAAACTTCTTCAAATCATTAACTACCGGTTACAAGAGATCTTTGAGTCCGTCGAACCATTCGGCGGACTCCCAATGATTTTCGGTGGCGATTTGTTTCAGCTTAAGCCGTTATGGGACGGCTATGTTTTCGAAGGTATACGAAAAAATGGTGTGATAGTAAGCAACTTATGGGAAGAAAATGTTCGCATGTTTGAACTTACCCAGATTATGCGTCAGAAAGACTGTTTGGAGTTCGCTCAAGCATTAAACAGATTGCGTACGGGCAGCCATACCGGACAAGACTTGGACCTTTTCCGTACGAGAGTCGTGGATCCCCTCGACTTGCCAACAGACTATTCGGCTTTTGATAAACACATTTTTGCAACACGGAAGAAACGAGATGCGCATAATAGTTTAGTTCTTCGCTTGACCGGGGGACCTGAATGCACTGTCCGTGCTAGAGATGAAGCGCTATCATATGGCGTTTCCGCTAGAGATCGAACGCACTTTTTAGTGAAAGCTGAAAGCATGCACGATACTGAAACGGCCACTTTATTCACAATCCTACAACTTAAAGTGGGTCTTTTAGTTGAAATAACCTGTAATGTAAACATCCCGGACGGCTTGTACAATGGAGCAATGGGATATGTAAGGCGCTTCCACGACTTGGGAGGGTCTGAGCCTCATATTATTTGGGTGGAATTCACGGAGCAGCGTATTGGTAGTCGGACTCGTGAAGATTCAGCTAACTTGTACCGTTTGTGCTCGTCTGTTGATCCCACATGGACGCCAGTATTTCGAATTTCTCGTACGTTTCAGGCCACGCAACGAATTGAAAGCACTATATTGAGAACACAGTTTCCCTTACGTCCAGCAACAGCCGGAACTTTCTACCACACACAGGGAATGACACTTCAGAAAGGTTCTCTTGATTTCAGAGGTGCTTCGAAGCACCACGTTGACGCCGGTCGGCATTATGTCGGCCTTAGTCGCTTTCCAAATCTAAACCAATTGTTCATTTTGGATCCCGCATTTGATGAGATAACGGTGAGTACGAAAGTGATAGCGGAAATGGCACGTTTACGTCAACAAGCTTCTGTTATTCCTTGTATCCCGCAGGTACCTATCAGCCCTGGAGTCGACAGAGAATTACATTTGATTCTACATAACGTGCGTTCACTGCGGCTTCACAAATCTGACGTTTTCGCGGATAACAACTTCCACCGTAGCCATGTGCTTGTCTGTACAGAATCTCGGGCAGCACCATCTTGGCCATTATCGTCTCTCGAACAATCAGACTTTGACGTGTTTCGCGCTGAAAGGGATCCGTCTGCAAGAGACGGATTCGACAACGTTATCGTATACGTCTCAAAATCCGGCCATACACTAAGCGCTACTCTTCATTCTGCTGTCAACGATTGTCGTTCGCAGGTGCTCTGCCTTCACATTCGCGGCCGCCCTTCGCCAGATTTTTACCTAATAAATGTATACAGATCGCCATCCGATTTTTTGGTTCATCGATTTTTAGAATCACTGCAGAAACTCATCGCACAAATCTTCGAAAGGACGCCACAAGCATCGCCATCTTTCCTTTGTGTAGGAGATTTTAACATAGACCTCTTAAAACCTTCCAGCGAAGCTAACAAACTCACTGATATAATGCGTTCTTTCAATGCTCAGCTACTGAACTCCTTGCCAACCACCAACCAGGGCGCTTTGCTCGATCACGTTTGGGCGTCGTCTTCTTTAGCGAATGCAGGGACCGCAAGAAATTTGGAAGCATATTGGAGCGACCATAGCCCGGTGCATCTCGCATTCCACTGGAGAGCCGACGGAACCTGTGGTTCGCCAAGTTTCAAGGTATGAAACATATCTGAAGCACACCCTGTTGACGTAATAAAAGACGAGCTACACAACTAAGTAGAACCGTCAGACCCCCCGGGCGCCGACCGGGAGGGGGATCCCCCAATACAAATTCCACGGGAGGGGGATCCCCGGAGCGCGAGTCTGTCTCCCGAGAGCTCAACGTTGCCGTTCGGATTCAGTGTTCCACAGACATAGTCTAGTTCACAGCTGATTACTTTCGAATCGAACTAACGACGAAGCCTTTGTGCTATTCTGCCGCTGTGACTGCCGCTTGAGAAGCAGATAATCTTCGTCGAACAACTTTATCAACTGGTAATGCTTCAGTCACCCTTCCTTTGTTTCTTTGAGGCTTCATGCACGTACGCGCGCTTCTGGCTAGGACACGTGACGCGTGACTCAGCGACAGTTGTCCCATGCAACCAACGCAAGTGTAGCGAAGACTTCTCTGTCGTTACCAGGCCTCCGCTGATTCTGCATGCATATTCTTCTTCCTAGCACGTTACGAAGACTTCGAAGATTTCTCAAACATGCACGAAAGCATCAACGTGCGTCAGCTTCAATTTCTCGCACAATCAAGATTCCAAGGAATTCCCACACACTAACTGAACTATCAACGTGCGCCGACTTCAACTTCTCGCGCCGACTTTTCAGACTTCGCTTGACTCTCGCACAAACTCTTGACAGCTCAGCGTACGCGACTTCGGATAAAGTTTTGTTCGACATGCACTTTCTATCCACTATTCCTTCTGGTTCGACTTCAGACATGCTTTCAATCTGTTTCAGTTTACTCGGATTGACTTCTACGAAATCGCCCGTAAACATCTCCTTCAGTCGAAATCTAGCAGCTTCTGTTTGATGTTCTCCTTCCTCGAATTCCCATAGAACTACCACGAGAAAGAAACACGAAAGCAAAGAATTCGAAGGGGCGCCAGTTGCAACCAGCAGCAATGGCGCCCAAGGCCTTCGAAATACCGACCGTTACGATCAAGCAGATAGAAGACTTCCCCGTAGATACAAGCCTGTTCCAAGTGCACGGCAAAGTAGTCGAACTAGACAGTCCTACTGACAACAACAAGCCTAACGTCCGCGATCTTCCATTTGGCCACATGTGCGCAATGCAAGTCGTCCTGCAAGATAAGGAAGGGGCTAGAATCACGGTGGAAGCCACAAGCAAGAACAAGCAGTTCGTGCAATCCGTGAGCGACAGGTGCTGCAAGGACAACACGATCCTTCTTCATCGACCAGTGGTGACGTCATGCAGGTAAATTCTGGATGTACTGAAACATTGGAAGCCTTTGGTGTTACATTCTATAGGCTTGTTACAACTAAGACTACTGTTCACGAATATTCTCTTTCTATGTATTTTGACGTTGTGTGCCAGGCTGGTTGCGGTCAATACTTCTGTCACTGAGAGTCCCACTTGCACATACTGCAAGCTTCTCGGTAGTTCTCGTACAAGAAGGCGCTCTCCGAGTTTTTGTCTGAGCAAAGAACGCTGCATGCTGTATGGCTTGCAAGTCTAGGAACCGCATGCACGACTGTAACACATCCAGCTAATAGTGTGGTTTACGAACGGTGCTTCTCGTGATCCAGGTATTCTCTTACGGACAAGCCAACCTCCCTGAAAGTGCAAGAAGGTCGAACTCTCATCCAGGACTCCGAGGAACACATCGATCAAATCCAAGAACCAGCCGTCGGTTTCGATGCTTTACAGCCAGGCGGGGTAAGTTGATCGCTGTATGAAATTTCAATTTGTCAGATACAATCAGACTACACTCTGAAGAGCATATGCATGTTCTGATGTATATTCAGTTTGTTATTGCAGAGCTTGGCTGCTTCGATGCAGATACCTTAAAGCAAGAAAGCACATCTGACTGCCCATGTCTGTCATGCAACCAAGCGTACTTTGACTTTTACAAAGTGCAAGCTGATGAGCGTGTCTTCGCGACGAGCTGCTGCCGTTTCCGATGATTGCTGTACTACGTACAGGTACGGACTATGTAAACGTCAGCATAAATTTGTGATATCTCATTTCCATCGGTCAATTTACAGGTACATAAGATCGAGGGCCTGCTTATCTACAAAAGCCGTGTGTCAACGCCAGCTACAGCAAGGGGCGATCGCGATGTCCGTAAAATCATCATCAAAGACAGGCAGGGCATCATGGGCAGCATCGCCATCTGGGGCAGCATGGCGCACATCCCGGAGATAAAGGACCTGAAGGTTCGTGATGACGTCATCGTCGTCGGTGGCGTCCAGTACGACATGGACCAGGGCTGCAGCAGCACAACTTGGAAGTAAGTTGTGCATGCATTCAGGACACAGATTTTCGTCAACTTTTCATGATATCAATAAGCGACGTTGACTAAACATGTGACAAGAGGATTCCCGCTGCTTTTCGTATTGCCGTTTGAAAGATCTTTCATTTGTGAAGGAAAAACAACCAATGTTGCATCAAGAAATTGCATCGCTATCTCTGAAAGTAGGTTCGCGGCTTTTCAACGCTACTGTTTGCAATTTCGACTGCTCGCTTTATGTTTCAAAATCTCAAATAAACGTTGCAGCACTGCACGCGCATGCACGCGCGATCTTAAGGCCTTCGAACGCGCGCGCGCGCTCGCCAGAATTTGAGAAAAATAGGCGCGCGCACAGTGCGTTCTGAATTGCGTAAACACGTTTTTACAGGAACGACTCAAAAGTCATTTGCACGCACCAGTTGTTTAACTGTTTGTTCATCCTCTGGTGTTACGGACTTCTTAGTCATGAGTATTCCATCCGTTAAACTAATACCGAATTTCCTGACTAACCCAAGACGTATTCTGATCATTCCTGTCACAGCAGAAAGTTGTAAAACTTGATTTCGTTTGTCTGCAGCACTACTATCACAGTGACCGGCCAGGCGGCAGCTGCAATAGCTGGAATCGGGCTCACCTACCGAGTGTCGACCGTCGACAAAATCGTACCCTGGCCTCGAGTCGTACAATCGCTGGCAGGCAACAAGTGGACAACAACGACAGTGCTCGGAAGCTTCATCCAGTTCACCAAGATCGACGCCATCGGATACGGCTGCAACGACTGCAGCAGCACAGCCAGCCGTAACCCGGTGACAAAGGAGCTCTTCTGCGACCAAGGCTGCAAGCCGGGGCCGCTTCGGGACGCCTGCGTGGAAGTGACGGTCACAGCGGACATCCGCATAGACGGCGGACGTGAGTATTTTAACTCTCATTTTCGCAATTGCAGACGAATAAGGCCGACACTATTGCGCTGAACGCATCGCTCTATTTAGCTTCATAGTCCTCTGCCTTGTTCTGATCCGTTCAATTTCGTCTGCGCTAATTCTATTCCGTTACATGCGATTCGTTCCGTTCTATGCATTCCGTTCATTCCATTCCGTTATTTACCTTCGAGCGTCGTAATCGAATAGGATGCGCTGACTTTATCTGGACTTGCTCTACGCATACCAACTCTACGCCTCTTAACGAAACATCGACTTCTTCTTGCCGAGACAATTTCTAAGCCTGCTCCGGATCTTCAGTTTCCACGACGCTGATTCTACGTAACGCATCTTATACGATCTCATTCTGTCTGCGATATCCGCGCAGTGATATACACTACGACTTCTTTTGCAGCGGACTCGATTTCCGTAAAGATCTGGCCTAATGAGTTCCCTGTCGTCACCGGTACGCACCTGGAGAGTTTCTGCACCAAGCCGCCCAACGAGCAACTGGACAACCTCAACATCCGGCTCAAGAATCGGAATTTCGCCATGCATATGCGGATTCGTGAGAATCCTAACACGCAGTTCAGCCAGTACCAGGCAAATCTCGTCGGTCTAGATCTCCCACCAAATTTCGGGTTCTTCAACAAAAAATATAAGGCGGAGTAAAACGGGACTGACTATCCTAGAAACGTGCGAGTGACTAGCAGAAATAAACGTGGTCGCTTGAAGGAACAACGACATTCCGTATGGTCGAGAAACTTAGAGTACGCTTTCAGTCAACAAGGACGTGGAACGGATAGTCCTAGTCTGAAGTCGCGGGAATTGTAAAAAGTAGAAACGACTATAGAGCAAAAACACTTCGTTCCAGAATCTCGTACCTGTAAGATCTGCGATGTACATTCTCAAATCCGCTGCGGCGACTGTAAATTGATGTACTTGCCACAACCAGAAACATGACATTTCCATTCGCATGCTATCAGTCGGCAGTATGCGCGTTCAACGTGACCGTCGAAGCAGACTCTCAAGACACACATGAGTGACAAAATAAGCGATTTCATCTTGACAATGACAACAGTAGATGTACAGTGACTTCTGCATACATGAGAAAGCGAGCCAAACTTATAACCATGTCAAGTCTGACAATGTAAGTTGTGTGAGCTGTTGCAAGCAACGCGCATACGGCATCGACCATGGCGTTCTACGCGCGCTGCGCGCGCAATTCAGTACATCTCACATTAATTCCCTGACAGAGGCAAGCCAGTACCGTCGCGCAGAC